GGAAGAAACGGAACTGGCTGTAAGCTGCCATGCTGCAGAAACTTTGTCACCAACTAAGCAAATATGCAAAGCAAATGCAGAACAGTTGTAAATGAACTAGAGAGCACCAGCTTCTTCCCCGCACTGTCCTTCTAAGTTCCACAGAATGGAGTCTGAAAACAACGTGCTAGCCTAACTTAGTGTATTAAATTCTGTGTGTTACATAATTCCAATAATCAACATTATATTCAATATGCATTGTAAAACAAAAAACATTTGTTAGCCGGGCTCGGTGGCTCAGCCTGTAATCCCACACCTTTGGGAGGCTGAGGTGAGTAGATTGCCTGAGCCCACGGGTTTGAGACCCACCTGGACAGTGAGACCTCATCTCTACAATAAATCAAAAAAATCAGCTGGGCGTGGTAGCGCATACCTGTAATTCTGGCTACTGGGAAGGCTGAGGCGGAAGGATCGCCGAAGCCCAGCAGGTCAAGGCTGCGGTGGCTGGGAGCAGCCACTGCACTCCAGTCTGGGTGACAGAGTGAGACTCCAGAACTCAAAAAAAAAAAAGTATTTGTTTGGGGAATATTATAGGATTCAGATAATTTTATAAAGTCACTGGAATTTATATAACATAGTAACCTTGTCTCTTATGGTTTTTTTTAGTTGATAGTTGTATAACTTTGTTTCTTATATTTCTTTTCAACTGATAGCATATAAAGCGTATAAATTCTAAATAGTACATCCCTGGAAAAATGACTAGCGTCCCAGTATCTGAGGACCAGTTTTTGAAATCAGAAATGATTAATATGTGGGACATTGAATAAACCATGCAGACTGTAATGACACTTAAATTACATTTGTTCCACATGGGCTGAATCGAAAAGAATGTCATTCTAAATTTTTATTACTGAAAAATGGCTTGAAGAGTTTTCCAGTATGAAAATCTTGAGTAAAATAAAATTTTTAAAGGCCTACTTGATATGCAGCACTTGCTGTCTTTTGCCATCATCAAGGGAGGGCTGAAGATGAGTGATTTACTCTCAAATCAAAATTCTGGTTTGGGGGACAAATATCTTTGTGAGTGCTGTTTTGTGATTATATTCCTTTAAAATGCTATAAAGTGACATTTATTCTTATAGTCTGGAAGAAGTCCAAAGTGCTCTTCACAAAAAAGAGACAGAATGTCTTAGGATGACTGAGGAAATTGAACGAACCAGAACTTTGGAGTCTAAGGCATTCCAGGAAAAAGAACAACTAAGATCAAAGCTGGAAGAAATGTATGAGGAAAGAGAGAGAACATTTCAGGTGCCTGTGTTGGTTTTTCTTGGTACTTAGAACACTTAACCGAAAAGAATTAACTAGCCAGTGTAAAACTTATTTCTATGATTGGGTGTCCTTAGTGCAGCATTTGTGTGGTCACACAAGCTGGGATTCTGGACTTTCGCTTCCCGTGCTCTTGGAAGGCAAGAAATCATGTAATTTTAAAAGGAAAATTCAGAACTGCTTCTCATTTTTCCTTACTCGGATTGATTTACCTGCAGGAGATGGAAATGCTAAGGAAGCAGGTAGAGTATCTTGCTGAGGAAAATGGAAAGTTGGTAGGTCACCAAAACCTACATCAGAAGATTCAGTACGTAGTACGGCTGAAGAAGGAAAATGTCAAACTCACTGAGGTAAACTCTGAGAATTATCTGAATAAATTCATTCTTGTTTTAAAAAGGTTTATCTTATTAAAACTTAAGATTGAATCAGTTAACTGCTTATTTCAGGAGCTTCCTAAATTCAAAGAATGTTGATCATTGCTATTCTAATTGCTATTCAGTTGACTAAATTTTCATAAATGGCAGATTCTTGTTTAATGTTAAATAGTGTGCAAATTGGCCAGGCACAATGGCTCATGCCTGTAATCCCGGCACTTTGGGAGGCCGAGGTGAGGGGATTGCCTGATACCACAGGTTGGAAAACAGCCTGGGCAACTTGGCAAGACCTCATCTCTACAATGAATCAAAAAATTAGCCAGGTGTGTAGTTTCAGCTACTTGAAAGTCTGAAGCAGAAGGATCGCCTAAGCCCAGCAGGTCGACACTGGGATGGCCGTGAGCCATGTAGTGAGACCCCAACTCAAAAGAAAAAAGGTGTATAAATTAAAAATTCTAGTCCTAATTTGAAATACATACTTAACGAATGCCAAGAAGAGTAAGACTTCCTGTAAGAATAAGAGCCTTAATTTTTTTTTTCTTTTATTACTTCCTAGGAGACAGAAAAGTTGCGTGCTGAAAATTTATTTTTAAAGGAAAAGAAAAAGAGTGAGCCTTAAGGATTCTGGTCAACTACCTAGGAATCACCTTGTCTGAAGATTTTTTTTTCTCTTTTATAATAGGACCTACTCTTGCCCACTTAGAGCTGAATTTAGGGACCTTGAGTATTAAATGTGTTTAGGGTGGTAGTGGCCCTCAAGTTTCTAATGAACATTCCATTTTATATGCCCTGTGACAGTCAGCAGTCTGCTATTAAGTGACTGCCACCCACTTCAAGGCTTTATTAAATCAACTGTAAATGCTGGAAGAACGTCTTGTCTTTTTTAAAAATAAAAGCCTGCAGCTAAGGTTTACAGTAGATACTGGCAAGACCATTTTTTTCTTAGATTATGCTTCTGTGATTTTTATGGAAGATCTAACAACATGGTGGTTTGCAAACTTGAAGGAGCTTGATAGCTGATTTAGTAACTTGTATAAAAAGCAAACTTGTTAATGTAGATTATTCCTGTATTCTTACTTTATGTATCCTGATGAGCATTTTATATAACTGTAAATAAAGTCATTTTTCAATAAAATATTTTTAAAATAATAATTAAAGAGATTTATGTTGTTCTCTCACTTGTTCATTCACTTGTTCACTAGTCATCAGTGATCAAAGCAAATAAAAATGCCTGCCCTCAAGTAACTTCTATGTATCAGAACTTCATTCTTTTTTATGAGAATAATATTCCATTGTAGGGATATACCACATTGTCCATTCACTAGTTGATAGACCTTTGAGTTACATTAATTTGAGTCTATCGTGAATAATGCCATTGTAAATATTTGTGAATAAGTCTTGGTTTGACATATATTTTATATCTCTTGAGTAGATGCCTAAGAGTAGAATTGCTGGATTATCTGGGAAGCATGTGTTTAACTTTTTAAGATGTTGCCTATTTTCCAAGTGTACCATTTTCAATGTACCATTTTATATTCCCATGAGCAGTGTGTTCCAATTGCTAATGACAAATGCTGCTGAACATTTTTCCAGACTATGAAATACTACTTAGCGATAAAAAAAGGGACACACTGATACATGCTACAACATGGATGAATTTCAAAAAACATGCTAAGTGAAAAAAACCAGACCCAAAGACCACATATTGTATGCTTTCATTTATAGGAAATACTCAGAAAAGACAAAATTAGAGAGGCAGAAAGTAAATCATTGATTGCTTGGGGATGGGAGTGGGAATAAATATATGCGCCCAAGGGAACTTCTTGAGGTGGTAGAAAACTTTGTGGTAATGGCTCTACAACTTTAGTAAATTTACTAAAAATTGAACTGTACATTCAAAATGGGTGAGTTTTGTGGTCTGTAAATTATACTTCTTTTAGCTAAAGCTGTAGGAAAGCAACTTTAATTAAAGCATAGTTGAACTCTTAAGGAATAATACTAAATCCCTAAGGGCTGGAAATGAAAAAGGAGCTTAAATTTGATGTAAGGTTGCAAGCAAACACTGCAACTGGCTTACAGATAGGAGGTGGAGCTGGATGCAGTGGCTCACGCCTGTAATCCTAACACTTTGGGAGGCAGAAGTGAGGATTGCCTGAGCCTAGGGATTCGAGACCAGCCTGGGCAACTTGGCAAGACCTCATCGCAACAATAAATCAAAAGACTAGTTGGGTGTGGTGGCACAGGCCTGTGGTTCCAGCTACTTGGAAAGCTGAGGCAGAAGGATAGCCTAACCCAGAAAACTGAGGCTGCGTGGCCGCGAGCATGCTGCTGCACTCCAGCCTGGGTGACAGAGTAAAAAACTTCAACTCAAAAAAGAAGAGATGGAATATTGAGGCTGGAAATCAGGTCTTATCACTTGTATTAGCCTAGGACTGCCATAACAAATGACTACAAACTGGGTGGCTCAAAACAGCAGAAATTTATTTCCTCACAGTTCTGGAGGTCAGAAGTCCAAAAGCAGGGTGTTACTAGGTCCATGTTTCCTCTTAGAGCTCTAGAGGAGAATATGTTCCACGCCTCTCTCTTGGCTACTGGTGTTGCCAGCAATCCTTGACATTCTCCCGTATGTCTCTTTCTCTTCGTATAAGGCTACTAATCATACTGGATTAGGTCCCACTCTAATGACCTAATCTTAACTTGATTACATCTGCAGTGTAATCCAAATAGGGTCACATTTCCAATCCACATTCACAGGCATCAGGGGTTAAAACATCAACATATCTTTTCAGGGTACATAGTTGAACCCATAACATCACTCATAGCAAGGAAAGAAAAGGCAGTAGATCACCTCAGGACAGGGAGTTAGAACCGAGATTTTTGCAAAAAGCCAAAACCGAGGAGTGCAGGGATCTTGTTTTAGGCATCTAGGTGACTTTGCTGCCTGAAATAGGGCCTGGCTCAGTATGTGCTCATTTGTTTGAGCAAAACAAAGAAAAGGTGGAGAAATGGACACAGTTAAAAATATTAACAATAATAAAGAGGCAAGAGTAAGGCTAGATAGAAAACAATAGAAGGCATTACTCCATAGGTCACCACAGACCTCACTTGTTCCTACTGTCTTACACCAGGGACTTTATACTTTTAAATTTCTCCTAAGCCCCTAAGGCCTCTTAAATTGTGACTTCTTAAAGGTGATGGGGCATTTGAAAGGTTATTCCAGAGCTCAGCAGGTCATTTTTTGCTCATAAGCCATCTTTGAGGCTTGTTTGAATTGATTTTTAAAATAAATGTGGGTCGGCGGGGCCGGAGTGGGAGGCCGCCATGCTGCTGTCCATGGTGTCCCTAGCCAAGAGCAAGTCAAAAACCATTCTGGTGAAGATGGTGAGCCAAGCTGGGACTGGGTACTCCTTCAACACCAAGAGAAGCCGGCTGTGGGAGAAGTTGATGCTCCTGCATTATGATCCTGTTGTGCGCACAAAAGTTCTCTTCGTGGAACAGAAAAAAGTACGCTCCCTTTAAACAATGGATTGAAACTGAATTTGATTTATAAGTGAGAAGACTGAGGGCAGGAACACTGATTCAGAAATCCTGCAGTGTGGAATAAAAGGAGAGGAAGTGGCACAGAATCGATTTGAAGGCCATTGTGGAGGGAAACAATGGGTGAAAGACAGTCCTTCCTATGAGGACAGATGCCATGGCATCACATTTATTTATCTTTCTGGATACGTTTATAGCCCTTAATAACAAATATCAAAATAGCCACAAAAAAATAAATAAATGTGGGCCGGATATTCCTTCCCCTCCAGACTGTCCTATTTCACGCAGTTCTAGATACTTTACTATTGGCAAATTTGAGGTCTGTGTATTATCATTTTTAATCTAAACCATAGTCTTTTCAAACACCTGTAGCAAGGGCATGAGCTGGTCACGAAAGAGAAGACACGTATGGCTGGATATGCCCTGACAGAGCCTCTGGTAGGAAGGCAAGTATGTTGCAAGGCACTTAAGGGGACTGTAGGGAACAATCATTTAGAGCCTTGATACTCAGTGTGGTGCTCTGACCAACAACATTGGCACCATCTGGGAGCCTGTTAAAAATGCAGAACATGAGCCGACCGTGCTGGCCTTCAAAAGAGGTCTGGATTAAAAAAAAAATGTGGTACATACACACGATGGAATATTGAGCAGTCATAAAGAACAAAATCATGAATTTCACAGCAATCTGGATGGACTTAGAGCCAATAATACTGAGTGATCTTTCAAAGAAATAAAGAACTGAGTATCACATGTTCTCACTCATAAGCGGACCTTGAACAATTATAATACTATTAAGAAAAGGATTGGCAGTAGTGGGAAACTGCCAGGAGGGGGGTCGGGAAGCAGGATGGTGGTAGTGGGAATCTGCCTGGGGAAGCAGGGGCACACCTCATCAAAAGGGTACCTGCATAATGAACATTTGTATACCTAACCCTGAATTGTACCCCACATCTTTAAAATTAAAAAAAATTTAAGCCGGGCTCGGTGGCTCAGCCTGTGATCCCGCGCTTTTGGGAGGCTGAGGTGACTGGATTGCCTGAGCCCGCGGGTTAGAGACCCGCCTGGGCAGCAAGACCTCATCTCTACAATAAATCAAAAAATCAGCCGGGCGTGGTAGCGCGTGCCTGTAATTCCGGCTACTCGGAAGGCTGAGGCGGAAGGATCATCGGAGCCCAGTAGGTGAGGCTGCGGTGGCCAGGAGCGGCCACTGCACTCCAGTCTGGGCGACCGAGTGAGACTCCAACTCAAAAAAAAAAAAATTTAAAAGAAAAAAAGCAGAATCTCTGTCTAGCTCCAGACCTAATCAGAATGCATCCTAACAAGATTCCTAGGTGATCTGTGTACACAGGATAGCTTCTAAGAGGCAGAAATCACTTCCCAACAGTGTTTGAGGATGGTGTCAATTCAACCAGCATCACCCTGTGCTAGGCAAGGGGGCACTGGAGAAGAAAGAAGGTGTAGTCTCTGCTCTCAAGAAGCTTGCAAGCTCGCAGAAGCAGAGCTGAACAATCAGAGGAACAACACAGGACTGGTGTGAAGGTAGGGCAGTAGCAGAGACTGCTTTACAGAGAAGGTGGTACCAACCTGTACTGCTAGTAAAAGCATCATCTGTTGTAAGAAAAACTCATTTTATATTCTTCACAACATGTACAGTTGGTTGATGCAACACCACTTTGATTTCCTGAAAGTTTAAAGTAAGGTAAAAGTTTTCAGAGGACATCATCTTTGGCCTGAGGTTCACACAGCTCTTTGCTTAGTGGATTGGTGCATCGAGGCCTGAGTCTCAATTTCCTCATCTGCAAAATGGGACACTATACCATATAGGAGTTACTGGAGTTATCCATGCATGAAAACTTCCCAAATGGAAGATAAAAAATGCTGCTGAGCAGTATGTTTACTGTGAAATCCTTTTGGTTTTTATTTATTTATTTTGAGAGAGCAGGATTTATTGAGAGGGCAGAAAAGCTCCCACAGTGGAAGGGGAGCTGAGGGGGTTGCCCCCTTTTTGTTTTCTAAAAAAAGTGTCATGCCAGGCACCGTGACTCAAGTCTGCACTCCCAGCACTTTAGGAGGCCAAGGTGAAGGGGTGGCCAGCCCACGGGTTCGCGGACAGCCTGGGCAACTTGGTGAGATTTCATCTCTCAATAAATCAAAAAAATTAGCCGGACATGGTAGCGCGTGCCTGTAGTTCTGGCTACTTGGAAGACTGAGGCAGAAAGATCACCGGAGCCCAGCAGGTCGATGCTGGGGTGGCCTGGGCATGCCACTGCACTCTAGCCTGGGCAACGGAGTGAGACTCCAACTCAAAAAAAAAAAAAAAAAGAAAGAAAAGAAAAAGTACTCTTATTAACAGTCATTTTCCTATAGATTAGAAGTAATACTTTATACATTTCAATAGCACTTTATTTTAAAGAAAATGTGCGGGGTTTTAAGGTTTTGTTTTATTTTATTATTTTTTTTGGAGACATGTTGCCTTGGCTGGCCTCAAGCAATCCTCCTGTCTCAGCCTCCCAAAGTGCTAGGATCACAGGTGTGAGCCACCGTGCCCGGCCGGAAATGTGCTTTTAATGAAAACATTTTAAACATATAAGTACATAGAAAATTAGAAGTAGCATTAATCTTACTTAAGTGACTATGGATGATTTATTTTCCTCTCACCGCTTATCCATATTTTCTCAATTTTCTATGATTAACGTGTTCCCCATCTGAGGTTTTAGATTTGTCTGAGGCGCCGGCTTCTCTCCGTGGAGGTCAGCGCCCTCTGCCAAGCATCGCTCGCTTCTGCCCTTTTTAAACTGGAAGGGGCAGGCGAATCAGTCGCGGTCTTGTTAAAGTGCAGGTTGCCTCACTGTGCCTGGGGCGGGGCTTGGGATTCGACATCTTTAACAAGTTCCCAGGGAAAGCCGACGCTGCACCGCCCCGAGTGGCCGTAAGTAGTTCACATTCTATCACAGCAACCACAGTACCAGTCTCGGCCTCAGGCGTCTGGAGCCCGCGTCCTGCTCAGCGCAAAGACCTCCTAAACCGTAGGCAGGAGGCCACCGTGCCCCGCCCCCTCCGAGACCACGCCCCAATGGGCCTGCGTGAGCGCCCATCACGTGATCGTCACGTCACGTGAGGCTGCCATCCAATAGCGGTGCGCGTTCAGCCCCGCTGGTAGCCCGTGAGAGGACCCGAGGCAGCCGGCATCATGGCCGAGAGGCCGCGGCCCCCAGGCGGCGCCGTGTCTGCGTCTGCCTATCCCGATACCCCGGCCGAGTTTCCCCCGCACCTCCAGGCGGGTGCGATGCGGCGCCGCTTTTGGGGCGTGTTCAACTGCCTGTGCGCCGGCGCGTTTGGGGCCCTGGCCGCCGCCTCCGCCAAGCTGGCCTTCAGCAGCGAGGTCGAGCCCGGGGCGCTGCTGTTGCTGTCGCTGCTACTACGGGCGGGCGGGGCTGGGAGGAGGAGGGCTCTGCGGGGCTCTCGGGGTGGGGCAGGTAGGGGCGCAGGGCGCTGTCGCCACCCGGTCAGCCCCTCCGCCAGGTGTCCGGGCCGCGGCGCTGTGTTCAGTTGGGGTGGGAGAGCATCCTTCGATCGAATCACGCAAACCCTCGTCCAGTGTAGGCGGTAAGAGACGGGGACTGAGGCCTCTTCCCTTACCGGGCACTTAAAACCTGTTCTCCGATTGGGCTAGTTCGCTCTCGGGGAAGACCTACACCTACATCCACCCTCTCATTTTAAGACTCTTGTGCCCGAGCATTTGTCTCCACGTGACTCTTAAGGTGAGAAGCCTGTTGCCCATTTCTTTTCTCCGTAATTAACAGGTGTTCTGACCAGTCTACCCTGCTGCCAGGAATATTGGGAGTTAGGGATGCCCTTGGCATAGGGAAATAAAGCGTCGGAGCATTTCTTTGATGCGGAGAACCCCTAAACTGCCTTCCCGTGTGTGCTAAGGTGTACCCCTTTGCCTCTCCTATTCCGAGTCATAGGAATAGGAGGCCCTCCTTCCTAGAGGGCTTTCATTGCATCTGCAGCCCAGGGTTGGCCCCTAACCTGGCCATTAACAGACTGATTATCTAGGTTTAAGCCTCCTTAGGGCTAAACCAATGGGATATGCCATATTTGAAATTAGCATCCCATTGGGTATAATTCTTGGGGTAAGTGGTCTAAAGTAAAATGAGTGACTCTGTGGGCTGTGAAGTTTTTTAGTCATGAACCAGGCCTTCATAACCCTTTTTTAAAACAGGTGCCACAGGTCCATACAATGCTTTTGTGTAAATTATAACAAAGCACCTCTTCCTCAAGACACTTGATGTTCAGTTGCTGGAAACTGTTATGAGAAATAAGGATGATGTTTAGATGGGCCCATTCCACTGAGGAAGCAGCCTTGTCTGCAGGCAGGTTTCTAACTCATTGCAAAACAAGGGGATTTACATATTCTTTGTGTAGGAGGCTTCTAAAAATCCCCTTCTCAAGACTTTCTCCTTTAAAAAAAGAAAGAAAATTTTCTGCAGATTCTCCAAGGGTTGCCTGGAATCGTCAAATAGTCTCAGGTGGTGTTTCCCCATGGGCTCGAATCCTGGTGGCTCTCACCACTCTGGCACTTTAGGCAAATTACTTAATGTTCCTGGTTCTTTTTCTGTGAAATGCATTTAAGGAATAAATGAGAATGCACTTAAAACACTTAGGGCTTAGCACAGAGAACTCAGGAATACTCAGAGGGCTGCTGGGAGTGGGCTGTAATTTGCACAGGAGTAAGGCGGGAAGGGGATAGACATGGCTTTACCAAATCTAAAGTAAGGATTCCACCCCTGACTTGTACTATGTGCAGAATAACAGCTACTTGGCACTCTGTGACTGATCAAGCATTGGTCGTTGTAGGACCAAAAAGGGACTGGTGTTGAGAAGGAAATACTGGTTTAGGGTTAGCCGTTGCTTCTGAGGTCACAAGGCCGGCAAGGTAGCTAAATAAGTGTCTTCTCTGGGTTTGTTTCATCTGTGAGATAGGTCTGCTGCCCACTGAGGATTAAGTGAAGCTCTGCACAGGAATGCTCTGAAGCCCTCCAGGCTGTGTTGAGATCTCACAGGGGCCCGGTGTGCTGTGAGGGTTGCTACAAGTCACTGCCCAGGGTGGGCATGGCTGCAGTGACACTTTTCTCCTGCAGGTGAACACAGGCCTACGCATCTTAGGCATTATTGTGATGTTCAGCACCAATTCTCTGATGTGGACCTTCTTTAGCCGTGGCCTCAGTTTCTCCATGTCTTCAGCCATTGCATCTGTCACAATGACATTTTCAAGCATCCTCAGCTCGGTGAGTAGCCTGAGCTGTCCTAAACCTGGCTTCTGGGTGAGTTGTCCTTGGGTAACCCTTGCTTTTCCAGATAAGGGAAAGGACAGAAACTGAAGCAGAGGGTGGGCTGTGACTTGACCCCTGAATGGCTGCTCTTCTATTCGTGGGGTGAATCTAATTCTAATCATGGAAGAATTCTCAAGTTAGATGGCAATGCAGCCTGACTGTAAGAAGTCTACCTGCTTACTGTCCCTCCAAGGTGAACCCCTCATTCTGAAGTCTCTGTGCAGCCTAGCTGTCTCCTAGAAGTCTGTGCACTTGAGCATAAGGTATGGAGGGTTGAGGTTTCTGAGACCTTTCTTCCTCTATAGTGTGAGGTGGACAAGGTGGAACTGAGCCCAGTGAGTCCTGAGTTGAGGGAGGAAGGCCTTGGTAACCCTACCTGGGTCAGTAATAACAGGTACCAGCTGTATCTACCTGCTGGTCTCTGCTGGGTCTTCTGTGTACATTGCTGGAGTCCAGTGCTGTGAGAGAGATAAGGAAGTGAATGGAGTGACTTGATGAAGGCAACAGCTGGGTTTCAAGTCCCAGGCTTTTGGCCCCAGGCCTTTTCTTTTGGTCCCTTTAGGAAGGGAGTAAGCCCCAGAGGAGTGAGGTTGTCACTCCCTGATGAAGTTGAGTATCTTACAGCTGTCTCTGACCCACAGGCCTTCCTGGGCTTTGTGCTGTATGGAGAGTGCCAGGAAGTCTTGTGGTGGGGAGGAGTGTTCCTCATCCTCTGTGGACTCAGCCTGATCCACAGAAAGATTCCACCCACCTGGAAGCCCCTTCCACACAAGCAGCAGTAGTATCAACTGGCTGGATGGACCAGCTGGAAAGATCATGATGGCATGCAGTTGGCATGTGGGACTGCTTCCAAGCGTGCAGCTGGCCTTCCAGCAATCAGCCAAAGGAAGGTGCAGGACCAGCCAGGTCTTCAGGCCAGCCCTGCTCACGAGGGAAGCAGGCCTCTGACGGAGCAGCCTTGAGGGTGGATAGCTCTGGCTTCTGAGGAGAGGTACAGCAGTGGCAGTGTTCTGCCTGAAGCATTCCTGATCGTCTGAACAGTACTTTTGATTCTTATGCTCCCAGCCAAGTGAACCTTGGCAGAGGCTGGAGATCCTGAGGTTGCTCTGCTTTGTATATGGTACTTGAAACCACGCTGTGATTGTAGTCTTGTTGCCTAACAAAAGCCAGTCTCAGAACTCTAGAATCAGTGACTGGTGGGGCCTTCTGACAACTCCATGCTTATGTGTCAGACCATCTGTGTCATACTTATGTACTATGGCAAGAGAAGGAAAACTGGGTTAATAAATTCTTTTTTTATAAGTTAAAACTGCCAAGTATGGAGTCTTAATTCTTCCCTCCCTTTTGGAGTAAGAGGAAGCAGCCAGAATTAGTTGAGTCCTGGTGTGGAGGCTCTGCCCAGCTTTCCCCTCTCAGCATGGCTCTCAGGTGCTCTGCTGCCTGCCAGAGCCCCATCTTGTGTTTCCTTTCCAACATCACGCAGGCCAGAGCTCTCTGAATTGAGGGTCTGTCCATCCTCCTGGTGCTCTCAGGGAGAAAAATCTGACTTATTAGGAAAGAAAAGTGGCCCAGAAGTATCCCTTCTTCCCCACCGTCCCACCCTTACCTTTAGGTCTCTTCTGTCCTTTGCTTTTCTTTCCCAGTTCGCCTTGGTCCCTTTGTGTTTTACACAGCATGATGACATTCCTAGTTCAAAATGGTCTGTGTGCCACATGCTGCCTTTGCACTCTGGCACAGAGCTTCAAGCCAAGCATGTGGCTGCCCCATTCTCCCCAGTGCTCCCCCAGAGTCTTCCCGCATAGTCTTCATGCATTCCTTGCAGTTGAGAGGGATCTGGGGGGAGTGAAGGGTCTTTTCCAGACCTCTCCTCCCCACCCATGTAGCACCTTCACTCCTCTCCACCTAACTCATCTCTGCACGGTCAACAGAATGAGTCAGTGTCTAAAACTGTACCATGGCTCATTCTGGTTGGGATCGGCCCTAGCCCACCACTCCAGCAAGAGTTCTCTCTCTCAATGACACCTTAGCACCTGCCTTCCCCACCCAACCCCCACCACATGAGCCCCTCCCCTCCAGACATCTGCATCTCAGCCGTCCTCAAATCCTCTGTATCTGTTCCTGCTTGCATGCTTTTGTACTTGCTCTTTCCTTTCCCTTGGGTTCCCTTCACCTTTATTTCTCCCTGGAAAACTCGTGTTCTTTCCTCAAAACCCTTGAGCTCTCCACAGGGGCCAGCACAAAGCTGTAACTCACAAAATGTTCATTGATTTCATGCGGGAGACACTCTTGTTATTTCTATCTTAGAGATGAGAAAACCAAGGCTCAGGGAGCAGTTGAATAATTTACCCAGTGTCACACCGCTAATGAGTGCCAGAACTGCATTGTTAGTCCAGTCAGACTCCAGGGCTTGGTTCTTAATCCCCACAACTGTCCTGTCTCCCACAGCAGCATGTTAAAACCCAGAGAGGCCATGCAGTACAGGAGCCTGCTTCATGCTATGACACAAAACGATCAAATCTCAGAACCCTTTGGTCACCAGCCACCTCCTTCCTCCCCTGAGGGTCCCTAGTGTCCCATCTTCCTGATCTAGTCTAACCCTCATCGTTCTATCAGTGAAGAAACAGAAGGCCATCTGAGACCCTGCGGGGTGTGTTCACACATGTGGATTAGATACCCAGCCAAGGCCAGACCTGCAGACTGCTGAAAGCTGGTCATTGGTCCTCCCTGGCCAATTCGTGAAAAGGGCAGGAAGAAGTCCATCATGGGCAGGCATTGTCTCCCATCCAAACACCTGCTGAATACACAGAGATGGTTGATTTTGACCTAACACCCTGTTACTCTCAATTCAATAAGTATGTCTTTGGGAGAGGGGGGTGTCAAAAGATACAATATGTTTCCTTTAAAAGGAAGATTAGTCATTCTTCAAAAAGCAGACAGACACATCTCTAATCATCTAAAAAGAAGATGGGGGAAGTGTTCATATCTTCTCTCATTTCAGAAGTTTCTTATCTTGATAAGGGAATAAACTATCAATATTTGTCCTTCTGGTGTGCACCCTGGATGATGGATTGAACTTTGTTTTATTTGCTCTGGAGCTGGCAATTTGACATCCAGGTTCAACAGCCAATGACCTGATAGGACAGCGCCCACTTATTTTTTGTTTTTCTTTGAAATTTAACTTATTCTTTTTTTTATAAGTGTGCCACTGAGTAGTATTTTAGTGTATTCACAAAGTTTTCAACCATTGCCACGATTGAATTCCATAACGTTTTTATCACTTCCAAAAGAAACTCTTAAAGCCGTTAGCAGTCACTCTCCATTCCACCCTCCTCCAGGCCCATGGCAATCACTAATCTACTTTGTGTCTCTTTAGATATTCTCTATTCTGGACATTTCATATAAATGGGTCATACAATATGTGGCCCTTTGTGTCTGATTTTTTTTCACTTATAATGTCTTCAAAGCTCTTCATGTTGTAGCATTTATCAGTTCTTCATTCTTTTTGTGGCTGAATAATATTCCATTGTATAGTTATACCACATTATGTTTATCCATTCAGTTGAGTTGGAGTCTAACTCCAGTTGGTGTCTCCCTCCGTTGTTACCCAGGTTGGAGTGCAGTGGCACACTCACAGCCACCCCAGCCTCGATCTGCTGGGCTCCGGCGATCCTTCCACCTGAGCCTTCCAAGTAGCTGGAACTACAGGCACGCACTACCACACCTGGCTGATTTTTTATGCATTGTAGAGACGAGGTCTTGCCAAGTTGCCCAGGCTAGTCTCAAACCCATGGGCTCAGGCAATCCACTTGCCTCAGCCTCCCAAAGTGCTGGGATTACAGGCTGAGCCACCAAGCCCAGCTGATATCATTTTACATTCTAACTATGAAAGTACATGTGTTCTAATTTTTCCATATCTTTGCCAACACTGATATTGTCCATCTTTTTTTATTATAGCCATCCTAATGGTATCTCATTATGGTTTTGATTTGCATTTCCATAATGACCAATGGTGTAAAGCAGTTTTTTTGTCCTTATTGATCATTTGCATATCTTCTTTGGAGAAATGTTTCTTTTAAGTCTTTGCCCATTTAAAATCTGGATTGTTTATCTTTTTATTAATGATTTGTAAGAGTTCTCAAATATTTTATCCCATTCTATGGGTTGTGTTTTTACTTTCATGGTGTCTTTTGAAACATATAACTTTTTAATTTTGAGGAAATCCAATCTATTTTTCCTTTTTTTTTTTGCTTGTGCATTTGATGTCATATCAAAGAATCCATTGCCAGATCAGAATGTGAGAGGGGCCAGACAATGCAAGATTTCCTGTAGACCATTTTGACTTTTGCTCTGAATGTACAGAAGAGAGATGATCTAATATCCTAAAGGGATCACTCTTGTGCTGAGAACATACTATTGAAGGCAAGAGCAGAAGCAAGAAGACCTTTCAGGAGGCTACTGCAGCCAATTAGATGAGAGGAGAGGGAGGTTTTGGCAGCAGTTGGCTAAATCTCAGCCCAGTAAGAAGTGATCAGACTAGATAATGCATTTTGAAGGCAGAGCCAATAGGATTTGCTGATGGGTCAGATGTGGGTATGAGAGCTCAATCAATAATGACTCCATGGTTCTGGCCTGAGCAATTTGAAGAATGTAGATGTCAGTAATTAATTGAAGACTGAGAGAAAAGCATGATTGGGCAGGAATAGCAAGAGCTCAGCTTTGAACCTGTTAAGTGTACAGTGTAATAATACATCCAAGTAAGAGTGTTTAATAGATAGTAGGTAGTATGGCTCTGGACCTCAGGGAGATGTCTGGGAGTCACCAGCATAGAGATGGTATTTGAAGCCATGAGACTGAATGACCTCTTCTAGAGAAAAGAGGCAGAGGGCAGAGTCTGGCCACTCCAATGTTTAGAAGTCAGAGAGATATGAAATGATTGGCAAGATGGGTAAGAAGAAACAGCAGGTGAGGTAGGATAATCAGATGAATGTGGTGTCTTGGAATCATGAGCAGAAAAGGACAGTGATCACCCAGGCTAATGCTACTGAAGAGTCAAGTAAATAAAAGATTGAGGAATGGACACTGGATTAGCAAAGAGATAACATTGATAAGAGCAGCTTTGTGGAGTGACAGGGGCAAGAGCCTTACTGGGTTAGATTCAAGAAGGAATGGTAAGGAATGATGATCATCTCAACTGATGCAGAAAAATAATTTGATAAAATTCAACTCTCATGATAAAAACAATAACCAGGAATAGGAGGAAACATCCTTAACATGATAACAACTATATATATAAAACCCTCAGCTAACATCATCATAGTCAGTGATGAAAGACTGAAAGCTTCCCCCCAAGATTAGGAATAGGACAAAGGTACCTACTTTCCCCACTTCTATTCAACATGATACTGGAAGTCCTAGCAAGAGCAATTAAGAAATAATAAGACGTAGAGGACATCCAAAGGGAGCAGAACTCTGGGGCGGTAGCTGGCAGAGAAGATGGTGACAAGAGGGATTTTTGTTTTGTTTTTGGCTCAGCAGCATATTTATACCTGTTGATGGCAGTGGTCCCACACTGATGGAACATTGAACATGCAGGAAAGAGGGGCGATGGTGAGAGTGCTGAGTGCTGAGCCAGAGCAGGGGAGATGGGGTCCTATGCACAAGTAGGTAGTACAGTTTGGCCTTGCGAGGAGTACAGATGCCTCCCGCTCAGCGAGGGCAAGAGCACAGAGATTCAGGTAGGGACTGGATGTGGTTGGATGGGGCTCCTAGAAATTCTTTTCTCAAAGTTCCTCAGACTTTATACATCATTAAGAAAAAGACAAAACACCTCGAAAGAAAATTGGTCAAAGCATATGGATTGCTAATTCATAAAAGAGGAAACTTGAACAGCCAGTAACCATATGAAAAGGCTTAACCTCCTCACTAGTAGTAAAATAAATGCAAATTAAAACCACAATGAGAAGGAAAGGAAAAGGCATGCCACAGACTGGCAGAAAATACTAGCAAAGTATATATCTAATAGAGGACTTGTATCCAGAATATGTAATGAGCTCTTGCAATTTAAGAATAGAAAGACAACCCATTAATACATAGGCAAAATATTCAAACAGACCCTTCACAAGAGAAGATATGCAGAAGATAAATAAGCACATGAAAATATACTAAACATCATAAACCATGAGGAAATGCGAATTAAAACCACAACGAGATGCTGTTGCACACTTATTGGGATGGTTACAATTTAAATGACTGAAATAGTAAGTATAGGTGAAGATGTAGGCAACTGGAACCACTGACTGGAGAGCAAAA